AAATCACTGGTTGGCACGTTTTTTTTCTCCACTCACCTGTCATCATTTCCTGTACATTACAGTCACTCTTTCCTCATAAAGCAACAACACGTGTTAAATACTTCACTAGTCTCTCAGCAAGTGTTTTCAGCTCATTTGGCTCTGAAGCCTCCTGTTTCTAGTTTGATCAGAAGGGCTTGTATGCCCATAAGCTTCTCTACCTTCTCTGAGCCGTTTTGCTGAGCACTACCACTCTTCAGCAGAGCTGATCATGTCAGCAATCACTCCTGGATTTTAGGATCAGACGGGTTTCCAAGACCCTCAACCATGTGCCCTCCTGCCAGGAGCTCTGGTTTCAGGGAACTGTCCCATTTATCAGCATTTTCCTGACCCCTAGTGACAAGACGTGGCTGTACAGCAGCCTCTGAATGCAGAACCAAACTCTTCTGCACAAACAAGGAGCAAAACTCGCTCTTTAAGATGGGAGAAAGGTTTTCAAATCTGTCAAGATACTTACCCTCAGCAACCCTTGCAAATTTGCAGGAAAATCCAACCTGTTTAGCAGAGAAACTCAAATTGGGACTGAAAGTCAGGAAACAAACTGAATACATTAAGCTTCCCTTGCACCAGGCTCCAGCTGTGCCCAGGGAAGCCGAGTTACAGGATTAATCCATCAACAGACTGGACAAAACAAGGGGTGGGGAGAAGGCAGTTTTGACACATTACCCTCCCACAAGGGCGAATGCATCCTGTTGCAGGGAACTGAGCAGCCTTGTCAGGGCAGCAAACTGCATGATCTCACCACCATCTGCAACGGACCATGGAGCAAACTCCCAGGGACCTGAAGGACATCACTTGCGACAGAGGAGTACATTAGCTGCCAGCACCTCTGGCCCTTGTTTTTGTCATGCCACTTGGTTTCAAGGACAAACACTGAGTCAAAACAGGATTATTCTGGTCCAGCTCTGGAGTTTTTAAATTTAATTCATGCCAGGCTTCTTTGTGCATTAGTTAGCAAAGGGCTGTCTCTTCCTGCACCAGTATGACACAGGAGAAGGCACCCATGGCAATGTGCGCTCAGGTACTTTGGACTCCTCTGGGAAACATCCCTTCAGCACAACATTTCTCCACTCCTAGATACTATGATATTCCACCATCTTGCACACAGTCATCTTCCACTTTGATATCCACGTTTTCTACACATTTAAAATGGTTATGCCACTGCACATTACCTGACATCAAGGCTCCTTATCTGAGCAGACCACAGAAGCTCAAATTTCTACCAGCCTCCAATTTATTTTGTTCACTGTGTTGAGGCCAATTCCCAGCCCTCAGTGACTGTGATAAAATGATGCTACAAGAGGAAGTCTCACACAGGAATAATTAACAATTCATCTCTCTTTATTGGGCCCTTTTGTCAACTTAAACTTGTCACAACTGCCATAAATCCCTTCCAGTGCTAAACAAACTCTTTAATTAAATCTATTGTGCCACAAGAGCAATGCTTCAGATAGCAGCAAGTAGTCAATGATGAAAGAGTTTGGCCCACCCTGGCTTAAAAAAACCCTTTGTGGGGGCTGAGGTTCACCAGGGGATTGTGACCCTGTCCCCAAGCTAGTTGTTCAAATGCATTTAGTATGGATGCAAACTCCGAAAACATATTCCTGGTGAATTCCTGGGGCAAGGCAGCTGTTTAATTGTTTTCCTGCTGACTCTGCAGTTGTTCCCCCCTGCCTACAACATGAGTTTCAGTCTCATCAGAGGAGCAACCTCAAAGCCATAAATACATGGACAATTCAGTACCCACCAGGCAAAAATCTGTTCCCACATCTCATGGGTTACTAACAATTCTCTGGCCCTGCATCTCCCCATTAAGGGAAGAGAGGTGAAGCATAGGAAGCCCTTCTCCCTCCTGAATGGAGGGAATAGGGAATGGCAGAATGTGCCAGACCTGAAAAAGAGCCAAACACAGTAGTTAAATGGAAAAAAAAACAACCAGTACACCCAGGGTTTTCCAAAGGTCTTTAAGGAGCAGGGACATACTGACATAGGATCTAGTTCACACCCTGTCCCCAGCGGCAACCAGAAGTGGAGCTGGGAAATGCAAGAACAGAGCAAGCACAAAAGCAGCTCCTCCCTTTTCCTACCTTCACCTACTTTCACAGCCCAGATCTTCACATGATGTGTTTTCTACTTAGCAACCCCCTGCTGGGTTGCTCCCAGACATGACAGACAAGCCTCTCCCATGTAGTGCTGGAGGACACCCACCCTTCTTCCAAAGCACAACATAAACCAAACACCTAGCCCTGTAACGCACCTTGCTTGTGATAAAGACTCCTTCTGCCAGTGTCATAAGCAAACATCCTGCTGCTGAGGCAGCAGCTCTGCTAACAGTTGCTCCAACGCAAACTTGCATTGCAGCAGAAGAGATGTCAGGAGCTACCACTTGGCTGGTTAATCCCATTAGCCTCGTGAGAGGGTGCAGGAAGCAAACTCAGAGTGAATTTACCATGACTTGAACCATGCTAATGCTAAACCCCATGGGTTTCCAGGGATGTCTGGAAAAGCACACTTGTGGGATGATGGCACTGAGCACATTTTTAATACTTTCAAGTGAGGAGCCAACACAGACTATGGAGAGGGCTGGGGGTAGGAGAAGCAGGAAAGGAGAATAAAACCAAACCCAAGCAACACTTCTTGCTGTGTTGCAGAATCATGGGCTCCTGCAGGTAGCTTCCCTCCCCCTGCAGCAAGGCCCACACTCTCCACATCTCTTCAGTGATTGCAAGCAGTCACCCGTTGCAGCCAGCACTCTCACGGAAGGAAGCTAGCATCCCTGTTCCCTCAAAGGGACCATCAAAATGTTTCAGGGAGCGTGAAATGAGAAAGGGGGTGGAATTCAAAAGGCAGATCTTGAGATGGGAGACAGTACACAGCTCTTAACCAAAGCAGCCTTCAGGGTCAGATACATTTTGTTGAAAATTTACTGGCTAAATAAAAATAATAGTAAGCAAGTCATATGAGAGCTCCCTTCAAACACACAGGAGCCCTTGCAGGTATGTAACAGTAATGCATGCATGTCAGTTTGACCTTGCCAAAAGAAGCACAGCTCTTGACTAGACAAAAAAGGAGGTTAAAAAAGAGCAAAAATCTGCTCCTAGGAAATACATGCCCCTTACAGAGGGGCTGCAACCTGCCCTGAGTAAACACCTTGACCAACATCACTCAGTTATTCACTAAAAGCACATCTAAAGGGTCCCATCCCAAAAAGAGAAATTAAAGCTGGGCAGAGGGGGAGTTTCTGCACTTAGAGAGAAGTTCAGGAGTTAAGTCAGCGAAAGAATCCCCTCGACACAATTTCACACCACAGTCCAAGGAAAAATCTCAACTGCCCTGTTGACACTCTCAGCAAAAGCACATCAGAGATCTCTCACATGTACGGTTGGCAGTTAAGGCTTGATTTATAACCTAGGAAAGCAAATGCCATTAACAAAGGAGCTAAGTAATCAGTATAATTAATCGCTTCAACCACAGAAATTCTTACCTCTAATGAGCTGAGGTGTCTGTCAGTTGTTCTGTACTGGCAGCACATGTATTGGCAAGGTAAGCAGGACTGGCTCCCAGCTGTGCTGGAACAAAATCCAGCAGAGAGAAAGCAGGATACCATAAGAGATGGAGCATTTGCTTCCTCCCTGGTCTCAAGGGAGAGGAGGAGGCCAGCAGCAGCACTGTCATCTAGCCAAGGTGCATTCAAGGCCCTGACACGTCACCACCAAAACTCTCACTGCACTTTCTTGAGAAAACTGTAGCTCAGAGCCCCTGACCATGGCTGTTATGTGCAACCCCCGTATCTCCACCTGCAACTTCACAGCAACACTGCCTTCCTTTACCTCTGCTTATTCCATTATTTACAAGGGCACTTCTGCTGAGTTGTGTTGATGAAAGTGCCAGGCCTGGCAATTTAAACTTATGCCAAGGAAATATTCTGCTGGCCTTTCCCACCATTACAAACAAACCCACTTCCCAATTTCATTGCTGGCAACCATGTAGTACACCTTTCTTTTCATCCATATCAAAGCTTCCAGCTTCATATCTGCACACAATTATTTTCTTCCCAGGTGCTGCATTGCTCTCCAAGTCTTTTCTCCCTGGACAGACACTCACGGTCTCCCAGGATACAAAAGATGCTCATTTTCCTTTTCATTACCATCACAAGCAAATCTATAGAGGGGAAAAAAAAGGAAAGGAGTAATTTCCTTCCCTCCAACTCACCTGCTGGAGAAACAAATCATCTCAGTGGCACACGTGAACCCGAACAGTAGAAAACAAAATGTGCACTAGAGTATATACAAGGCATGCATGTCACACTATATTAAAAAATAATCCAGAATCAGTTGCTTCAAGGGTAAAAAAAAAAAAAAAAAAAAAAAAGCCATGAGGGTATAGCAAGATGCTGAATTTTTAGCTACCATGTATATCAGCACAGTACAGAATTGTTGACAACACTAGAAAATTGCCTGTCACACAAGTGGGTTTAGCACATGATGAGCTATGGGACATGGGCACAAATCCACAGAAACAGGCCAGGGAGCAGCACACGGCATCCATGCAGACATGGTTCCGTCAGTAACAGCAGAAAGCACCTTAAAAATGCTCAGGAGTGCTGTCCTGCACACACTCCCCCCATTACCCTAGCTCTGAAACACAAACCAGGCTGTCCTCAATCAGTGCAGCCGGCAGCCTGTGATTACCACCGCACAGACCTCAAAGGGCGGGGAGGCACACATGTATGCTTGTCACATTCACCACGTGTTGCCAGCAGCATCCAGCGGTGCCCCAGTTCTCACTGCCCCTCTCCATCCCGTTCCGCCTTTTCCTCGTTCAACAGGTGAAAACAGTGACCCTGCAGGAGAAGGGCGGGTGGCTCGGGGTGGACACATCCCCGCTCCAGAGACACCTAGGTTTACACACACACCCCCCCCAAGCCCCACGGCCCCGCCGGCGGGTGGCGGCTGCAGGGCAGCGCTTGGGCAGGCATGGGCAGCGGTTCGGCGTGGGTAGACCCGGCCCCCTCGCCACGCCTCCCGCCACCCCGGAGAAGCCGCGGCACCACCGGGCTACGGCTCTGCGTGCAGCACCCAGCCCGGACCGCGGACGGAGGCCGCAGACACCCACGGGCCATGGTAAGTCGATGCTGGGAACTCCGGCCGGTGCTTTGCAGGCAGCGGGAAAGGACGGGGCAGGAAGGTTCGAGCAGCAGCTGCGGCCTCTGAGAAGAGGCAGGAGGAAAGGGAGAAGGGAGCAGAGCTCTGCGCTGTGGTTAATAAGTAACAGTCAGCTCCGCCGGCTGCTGCCGTTGAATGACCGAAGCCAGCGCTCTCCAGGCTCCGTGCCTCTGCAAGAGGGAGGGAAAGGGTTCGCCCGCAAGGCAGCTCTGCCAGTGTGACCCCTGCTCAAATTCTGCATGGCATGTGCTCCATCTGCACAGCCTGTCCAATCCACCCTGGACAGCTGGAAACCAGCTTCTTCACAGCAGTGCAGAGGGGACAAGAGCAAAAGACATTGGGGCTTGTGGCATACCTTGTTCCAGCCCGGCCTGCAGCTCCTGCTCGCACCAGGGCTGCCCCCTTTACCTTCTTCTAGGTGACAAGTCACCCTTAAAAGGGAAGGTACTAGTTTGGGCAGAGAGGGTTGTTTCATCTCCAGAAAACCCAAAGCTCTCCCAGTTTCCAGTGCTGGTTCCTTTCCATCAGTTGCACAATCCATCTACTGGTTTCCTGCTGGTAAAAAAAACAAAACAAAAAATCCCAATGCCTTGGCAGTTAAGAGCCAGCAAAAGAAAACAAAATAATTAAATTTCCCTAATGAGAATAGTGTGTTTTAAAGGAGTACGTGCACATGAAAGCAGTTAAATGCCACACCGATAAAACCAGCAGGCTGGCCAATGGGGTGCTGGGGCAAAGAAGAGGGGAAGGGGATGGGATGGAGGGTGCTCCAGGCAGTTTGTCATCAGAAGACACAGCCAGAGGAGGTGGCTTTTGTGTGGTCTGTTGGCCAAACCTCAGCGTGGCCCCGCCTCCCACTGGTGCTAGGCTCTCAGAGAGGAGCTGGACCTGGAAAAAGCCCTGGGGCCTGTCCTCCCATATAGTCGCAACCGCAGAAAAGGGTTCAGAGGACAATTAAACCACGTCCCTCCCAAGCAGCCTGGTTTCTTGCTCTGTCTGGGAAAGGCTGGCTTGGAACCCAGCCACCTGCATCCATATCCATCCACTTCAGGCAAGCAACAGCTCTGGCTTTACATAGCCTTTCCTCTCTTCAGTACCAATACACAAGCAGGAGGTCTCAGCCCCTGGTTCCAAAACCTGTCATAGTCCCTACACCATTCCCAGCACAGTCCCCCAGAGCAGCCCCCACGGGTGCCCCCCTGCCGGTGGCCCCATGCAGAGCCAGCCTTCTTCCCCACGTTATCCAGTTGCTAAGCTACCTGCGCCCGGCTTATCACACCATCAGCACAGAAGGGCAACGGCTGAGAGTTTATTGCACTAAGCCATGTTTACTCACTACCTTCCCTCCAAACCCAGAGCTCGGGAAGGGACGGGATTGACATTAGTGGGGAGGTGGTGAACCTGGGGTCTGGCAGGGGGCCATCCAAAACACTGCACAAACTGAAGGGCAGCACAGGGTGGTTTGAATGCTACCAGCAAGGCCAGAGTATGAGCAGGTGAGGAAGGCTTTCCCCAGACATTATGCAAGAGAACAGGCATGCAGCTACGATGCCAGGGGGACAGGAACCATCCCACCTCCAGCCACTCCTGAGCTAAGGTTCAGCGTACACCTTGGCACTTCCCATTTCATGACGTGCTCTGCAGCTCACAGCTTTAAGCATAGGGGTCACAGCTATGCAGTTAGGCACCCACACAGCCTGATCCATGTTTTAGCAGATCCAATAACACTGGAATAGGACATAATCTTTCCAGTCTTCCCCAAAACATGCAAAACCAAAAAAACACCCACAAAAACATCAGCTCCGTGGCTGCCTCTGGTTTTGTACAGCCTATGAGTAGGCATACTATAGGAAAGGACTATTTGCCTTAATTGCTCAGCTGCTTAAGATGCTACTTCTGAGCACCAATGCCCAAGCAAGCATCTCAAGGGGCTGCTGACCAAACACCCACCAGAAACAGTGTGTTGGTCATTGTCACTGAGAAACAACAATCCTCACCAACTTGAAAGATCAGATCACCCACTAGGAAAGAATTTTAATTATCAGAACATAACCTGTCACGTAGAGCAACAGCCCTCTGTGCTCACTCCTTCCCTACTGAGCTGAAAGATACACTGGCTCAGTCAGCTCCCATCACCAAGAACTCTATTTTAGTTTTATCTTTGCTTATATTCACTTCCCAAGACGAAGAACTGAACTTTCCTTATCCCCCCCTTCCCTTTAAAAAAAACCAAATAACAGCAGTTCTGCCCAAGAGCAGAAGACAATGCTAAATCACAATCCTTCCCTCTGCCCTTTGTTACTTATAGACAGAAACAGCCTCTTAAACTCCATCGTAATGTAAGGGAGATTGAAAAGGAAAAGGAGCTGAACTCCAATTTAGCGTGACTCATCTCTCTGATTCACACCACTTCTTTCTCCTCTAAAGCAAGCTTCCAGTGCAGACGACCTGCAAATAAAGCCCTCCTGCTTTAAGAAGGTACTTCACAAACCTTAAATGCAAACCATTCTTAGTTCTTGAACCATTGCCGTTTCAGGTTTTCTTTTCATAAAATTCTATGTAATGTATTCGGGAGCTTAACCTTACACAGCTATCATTCTTAGTACCTCAGGTTATAATGAATCCACATTTATACTAGTAAAGTGGTAGGTGTTGCAGGTTAGAGGACAAAAGTGGCAAGTCGGACTGCCCTTGACCTGTGTACCCAGGGTAGGGAACAGAGGACAGCACTGATATCCCCTGTCATGAGTACCTACCAGTTCAGGTCTACACAGACACTAACCCACCCACCCAGCCTGCAGCTGCCTCCATGGACCCGTAACTCCCTGATCAATGGGATGCCTTGCTGCTTTGAACATTCACTTCCTCTGCCACACTGATCTTCTCCTCTTCCCTTTCCTTTCTATGGTGTCAGGCAGGAAAAGCCCACAGGCTGAGCACAGAGGAGAGGGAGCAGCTGCTGCCAAACCTGAGAGCTGTGGGGTGGAACGAGGTGGAAGGCAGAGACGCCATCTTCAAAGAGTTTCACTTCAAGGACTTCAACCGGGTATGAGCATCAGTTGTATGCAGATTTCACAAAGTGGGACACCTGGTTTGCAGAGCAGGGAGTTCCATCTGCAAGGCTCAGCAAAAGAAACCCCTCTGTGTTTCTCCTGAAATGTAATGACTGAGCAATATAAACTGCCCAAGACACCAAAGTGCTTGACCAGCACGATATCTCTGGGAAAAGCTTCCCCAAAAGGGGAAAATCCATAGAAAACACTAGCAAAGATACAGAAAATCCCAGGCCTTCTATTTGGTTAGGTTCCCTAGAAACGTGGTGTAAAATTAACAGTAATGGGGTGAAAAACGATATATTGCCAGGTTCAGAGCTAGCTTTTCTTCTTACTCCACTGGGCAGGCCTTTGGCTTCATGACCAGAGTGGCTCTACAGGCAGAAAAACTCGATCACCACCCTGAATGGTTCAACGTGTACAATAAGGTAAGAAACAGGGATGGTGAGGGAAATGGAGATCTGCAGGGAGCACATCCTTTTTTGCGGCATAAACCAGCAGCAAGTCCTCTTCAATGGGACCTTTTCTGTCAGATGCTATTCCCTTCACATATCACAGACAGCCTACAGCTGTCACTTAACAGATCCTTTCCTCCTCCTCTTTTTATGTGTCCAGCTGAGCAGTAGCTGCCTCGGTGCCAGCACCAGGGTTATGGTTTTTAAATCAGTATCAGAAGCAGCAGCAAGGGGAAATGTTTTTGAAGAAAGAGTGAGTTATAAAGTGGGCATAGGCGGGTGCTGTGACCAAGGCAGGGGTGGCAGTGACAGCTTGTGGCCAGGTTGAGCTGTAGGAAGGAGAAAACCAGGCAAAGTGCCAGACCACCTCTTTCTATCTACCCCAGGAAATTTTGCAAACAAGCCTAGAGAAAGTAATAGCCTTATGTGCCTATCAGGTGCAAACTGTCTGTAGTGCTGGGGAAAACCATTCCTGCTCTTTCTGCCAGCAACACTTGTCGGTCTGTCTGTCTGGTTTAGGTTCACATCACCTTGAGCACCCACGAGTGTGGAGGCTTATCGGAGCGAGACATCAACTTGGCCAGCTTCATTGAGCAGGTTGCAGCATCCCTCTCCTGACCAGAGAGACACACAAAGCCAAAAATCAACTGTGCCGCTGCCACAACCCGTATCTCACCTAGACAACTGCACCTAGAGCTTTCCCCCACTTCCAAGCTAGTTCCTGGATCCAGACTGCCTAACACTACGCCACAGCTCAGATGAAGGAAGGCACTTCTTGGGCACTGTGCACATATCCATCTCTGATCTTGCCACTTCCATTCTTAAACCCTTCGTTAGCTGAGCCCCACCAGCCTGCAAGCTGTTGAGCCTCTGGGGCTTTCAGCATACCTGCCCTTTTACCTGGAGTCATGTTACACAATTGCACCAGTAAATCTTTCCAGTGCCTGATGCCATCTAGCCACTTTCCGTGTTATTTCTTCTTACCTGCTGGAATATGCTTTCCACCCAAAACATGGTACATGAACCCTTTGGTTTCTTTGTAACATACCAGCAAATGTGATGTGCAATTTGGTTATTACTGTAACCTCTCTCTAGCAGTATTATAAGCAGGCATGTGATCTCACCCCTGTTGTAACTGGCCTTTAGTAGGATACCAACTAAAAAATGTTTACAATAAATGTCTTAGTTAACCCAATGTCAGTTTGGAATGAGGCCTCACTGTCAAAATTATGCCAACAGGTTTTCCCAAGGAAGGTACTGTCCTGACTGCTCTCAAGGTGCTTCTGCCAGGAAAAAGCTTGATGAAGCAACACAGGGAAATGACATGTGCCTTCACAGGCTTACACCTCAAAGTGAACGGGATCTGAAAGAGAATAAGATTATCAAAGCCAGAGCAGATCAGATAAAAACTGCATGTGCTGAAGTCAGAAGTGTACCATAGCCAAGGCACAAAAACAGGGAAGGCACAACCAAAAGGAATGAAAGCAGCATAGCAAGGAGCCAGGGGCTGCTTATGGTGGGATACCTCCCAAAAAGGTTGTAGGTGGATTTAGTGGTGTAAGATCTTTACTCCAGTAACAATGATCACTACATTCAAGGAGTCTGCAGCCAAATCTCTGTGTTTCTGGTACAACAGGAACAGTTTGCTATGAAACCAGCAGTAGCTGCTTTAAGTAGAACCATCTAGGAAAAATGCTACAAAGCCCCAGCAGAGGTTTGTTGGTGTTTGATTTTGGTCTTTTTTTTTAACCCTTTAAAGTTCTATAAAGTATTAAGAGAAAATCATAGCTCTTAAATGACAATTTCTAGCATCTTTAAACATCACGTAAGATGTAGCCATGAACATCACCCGTATCTTAACAGAATGAAAAAGTAGTCCTCAGGCAGAGTTTGTAACATTCATAAACTGCTCTCCCTGCAACAGACTAGACTGCATGAGCAAAGACCAGGAGCAGTAGGTCTCCATTCTTTCAAATGAGCATCGAAACAGAAAAACAAAGAGTTCAATGAGCCTAAATAACTAAATGCTTCATTTTAATACAAACTAGGCCCATTTTCACAATCTCTTCATCTATTTCAGCCTAAAGTTTTACAGTGGCAAATTAGAGCAATACAGAATACTGCCATCAGATGAACTCATCCCATTTGTTCATTAAAAAGTCAATGTGTATTTACTGGGCAAGATATTATTGTGTCGTACACAACCTTTCCACTCCCCTCTCCCGAAGTCATCAGAAAAGTGCAGATGAAATCCATGGCATGAAGACATACATCTCTTCTTGGTCCATCCCATTGGATATTCTTCAGTCTAGTACCTAGGAGCACGCAAATCGCTTGGGAGCGCTTTGTAAAAGCACAGATTAAGTGTCTCACTCGAGCACCTGAAGGTCAGAAATCTCACAGGAATTAATAGTCACGAAAATCCCCTCCAGGTCTAAAGTATCATCCAGTTTCAGATCATAACCCAGTCCATAAAATTCTTTTTTTGTCTTTTAAATAATTATACAATCTTTTAATCACACCATTTTTCCAAGACCACTTCGCATGATAAAGGAGATGTAGATTACATGGTAGATGACAAGGATGAATAAAGACTACACACCGGTAAATTACAGTAGCCTATTCCTGATCAGAAGATTACATTTACAGTATAGAATACACATAAAACAATTAAACCCACAAATATTACAAGTGAAGCCCAGAATAGAATACATTGATTTACAAATAACATCTTCAAATACATCTGAAAATGTGAAATGGAGCACTGATCTGTTAGATCCACCTAATTCCTTGGAGGAGGATGCAACCGGGGAAGAGAGGTTTTCTCTCTCCTTCACCTAGCCCAGTCCATCCACTTTCTTTTAAAGCAGAAACAAAAAAAGTACCTCCCTTTTTGTTCTGTTTTTTAAATCTCAGTTCAAAAGGGAACCATCACAGTAGCCAGACACTTAAGACTGTCTCCAAAGTACTGCAAACTCAGGATGCAGTAATGGTCACATTAGCAAAACATTAATAGAATAAATAGGTCCAACATAAACGCTGACTGCCAGAGCTGGTAACACCATCAAGAGACTATCAGGCAATTCAAATGAGATGTTTTCAGAAGGGCTCAACAAGTCACCAATTTAAGGGCAGATGGCCAAAATACTTTTGTCTCCTAGCCCGGAGAACAAACCTGTTAAAAACCAAGTATTCTTCCCACAGTCACTGGGCCCAAAGCTGCACTGGTTTGAGCAGAGACTTGTTAAGTAAACTTAGTAACCTTTTCATTAGGTATAACTATTGTACCAGTGTGTGCTTCAGCTATGTTAAGCCAGCAAGGGTCAGGTTTCGGCTAACAAGCCCACTACTGCAGAGAGACAAATGCCTTCAGACACCCTGCACAAGTCTGTGCAAACGTGGCGTGAAGTCTTCTCCCAAGTGGTGAACTCTGCCTGGGAAACTCCCTGTAGCATGCAAAAAGCTGAGAGGAAACACATGGGAAAGCCCTGCAGCAGTAACTCTACTGCCATTTAATAACACAGAGACTCTTTCCAGCTTGTCCTTAAGGCCACAAACTGCCTCACAAGCTGCACTGGGAAAAACTCTCTCACCATAAAAACAGTGAAGAAAAATAGGAAGCGTAAGTCACATGCCCAAGGCTTGAATGCTTCCCACTTGCTGCATCCTATCTAACATCTACCTCTCGGAGCTATACAAGCACCTTTATAATACTGTGAAGGGATTTGGCTCAATACAACTAATATTCTACCTTATAAACAAGAACGTTCTCTGAGGCCAGTCTGCCTTTGAGGTTTTATTCAGTATAGTACCATAAGAAAATGACCACAGCGAAGGTTGTGGTCAACAGCTGAACCTTCAAACCCTCCCTGGCATCCCACAAAAAAAGCCAGAGAAGCATCAAGGCACAATGGTGAATGCCCTTTTGAGAATGTGCCTTAAAAGAATCAGTGCAAAGAGCAGAGATTACTACTATTACAAAAGTCACTTTTTTATACTAAAAGATCATGGTAAAAAAAACGTCAGCTTTGGCGTCATCTGTTTGCACATGAAGTCCAGAGCCATGACACATGCCAGGGCCTGACTACTACAGCTTTGTGAGATAGTGCAAAACCTTCAAGTTATGAACAGTGAAATCACTGGTTTGCATATCCCTCCAGAATTGTGCAAGGTACAATAGCACTCCAGGTGGCAAATGCATGTCTTCCAGAGGAGACAGGGAAGCAAACCAGTTAACTATGTACCAGGATTTTCAGTACCATCTAGTTCCCCTCCTTACACTACCTGCTTGGTTTCTATTTCTGATGTTCTGTAAACCAAGAGATTCCATAAAAGGATTTTGTGTTGCGTACTTTTCCCCCCTCAGCAGATATTGATTGCAGTCTGAGATCTCTAGAGGGGATTTCAAAAAGAGTACATGACCATCTCTCCTTTGCCAATTTATTGGCTCTGCATTATAACAGCTATAAAGGCTCCCAGCACAGTCTGTTAAATGCAGTAGCTTGAAGGAATACTCGAAAGAAAACAAAATTTTCAATTTACTTTCTGCCTTTAACTTCAGAGAAGATTGAAGCTTTGGAACACAACATGAGAACTCAAATCTAACACCTGGCTGGTCATCGGCTGAATACCAGGTCTGTGGAAGAAGAAACAGCAAGGAATGAAGTGACATGCAGAATACCTGAGGAATTTGGAGTTGTGGAATGGACTTTTGATTTACTATCAATAGTTACGTTGAAAATAGGCAGGGGGAATGGAGGAAAAGCCCTAAAACTAAAGTCGGGCATGAAAATGATGCAGATTTCAACACAGACTAAGATGGGGAAGTTTCCAAGATCAAGCCACCGTGAGACCTGTAATTGTAGGAACAAAGGTTTACTGCAATCTCTTCCCCTAGGAAACCTTCAGAACCACCCCAGTGCTAGTTGGCAAGGTACCAATTGATGCTGTACAGTCAGCGGTGGCTGGGGGAG